ATATATATATTCCTTAACTTCCATAAATATATTAAAGAACTCTTGGCCTACTTTTATTTAAGCAATTGGAGTCTGACTGACCCACTGAGGATAGTTTCTGAAAGCAATTTTGGGAAGAAAGATGAAGAGGTAAACTCTCTACATTTTTCTCAAGCTTATGTTTCCCCTGCAAGTCTGTCCCTGGTGAGGTTAATATAGCTACATTCATACTGCATTATTAGCACAGCAGTGAAAGCTATAGGCTTTGGCATAAAAATCTGGCTCCATCATTTATTCAATGTGTGACCTTGGACCTCACTGCGTCTCCCTAATCCTCCCTGGGCCTCATTTTCCTTCTCTAAAGAATGAGGACAGTATAATAACAATTGCTAGAACCAAATGCACATGAGGTATCTGACAAAGTGCCTTCACCCCAAATTTTGTCATTCTGATTTGCTACACAGTCATGATGCCCCAAATTTTCAGCTAAATTTACATCTATATATATAAAAGCCTAATATGCAAAGTGTCCCCTTGGGAGATCACTTGCTGTGATATATGCTGACCACCAGGGGGCATCATAGAATGAAGGGAGGCCCAAGCCAGCAGCCAGCAACAGGGGAAGGAGGCCCCAGCTGGTAGCCGGCAGCCGCTAGGGACCCTACCTGTGCACAAATTTTGTGCACTGGGCCTCTAGTCTATTATATTCCCTGAAGCTTTGCAACTATCTTGAAAGGTCTCCCACCAACTAAATTTGAAGTAACTTGAGCAACTTCTGTGGGTTATAACTCACTGAAAAAATCCATGCAGCTATTATTATATTATATATGATACAATAATGTAATATCTATTATAATTTTATAGAAGAATATCCTCATTTTTTGGAGATACACACTGAAATAGTGAGGGATGAAGTGTTATGATTTCTGCTGCCTATTCTCAAATGGTTCATTAAAAAAAATTGTCCATAAAGTATGTTTTAACAGAATGGGGTTATGTTTATTGTAAAATACATGTAGGCTAATGCTTGTTAGCTTTGTGGTCTAAAGTGTTTATCTCTCAAGTGGATTCCTAAGTAGACCAAATCTTTTGTTGCTAAAGTGTTCTGAGATACATGCTTAAAACAACTCTCATTCCCTAAGATCTACTTTTTAAGCCTAACATTCCCTGTAGTTACCAAGTGCATGCACGGCCTCTAGAAATAAGTATGCTAAGCTGACCAACTTGATGAGAGCAACTATCCATAGGGCTTGTCTCCAAAGAAAAGTATTGTTTCGCATGGCAAAATTACAAGCCAACCTAGGGATGTTGTAAAGCCGTTTGAAAGTAACTCAGAGCAAGTCAGAAATGTAGTGCTTGACTCACATTCTGCTATAAAAGATTGGCAAATACGGACAAATTAAAAAGAAAAAAATTGTCCATAAGGTATGTATAAAGAGAAATAAAGCAAAAAAGCAGCATGTCAACAACTGGTGAATCCAGGTGAAGGGCATATGGGTGTTCACTCTATTATCCTTTTAACTTGTCTCTAGCTTAGAAAATTTTTTGAAGATTGGGATGCCACCCCAATAATTTCTATTAAAAATGTTTAAATAAATAAATAAATGGAAGAAAAAAAGGCAAGATCAGCAAATTTTAAAAAATCAAAAGTTAAAACTGAGAGCCAGAGCAGTGAGTTCCAAAGAAGCCATTATCTATTTTAAAAGAATTATTGTGTGAAATGCATGCTTCTTATACAATCAGTTATGTCAAATGATGTAGGTGTCTTCACGTACGTCTAGAGCAGCGGTTCTCAACCTGTGGGTCGCGAACAATGAAAATACATCCTGCATATCAGCTATTTACATTATAATTCATAACAGTAGCACAATTACAGTTATGAAGTAGCAACGAAAATAATTTTATGCTTGGGGGTCACCACAACATGAGGAACTGTATTAAAGGGTCGCAGCATTAGGAAGGTTGAGAACCACTGGTCTAGAGAAATGAATGGAAGGATGGTCAACAATATCAGTGACAGCAAGCTCTAGCTAGTAGGACGGCAGGTGATTTTCCTTTTCCACTTATACTTTTTGCACTGTTTGAAATCCTTTTAAGGACCATATGTCAAATACATGTAATCAGAAAAAATGCTAAAGCTATTTTCTTTCTTTTATTACCTGTATCTGTGGGATCTCCCTATACATGTTTTTGCAACTTCCCATGAATCTTTAATTATTACAAACTGAAAACTTTTAAAAATTGACCTATAGCCGAAACCGGTTTGGCTCAGTGGATAGAGCGTCGGCCTGCAGACTGAGGGGTCCCAGGTTCGATTCCGGTCAAGGGCATGTACCTGGGTTGTGGGCACGTCCCCAGTGGGAGATGTGCAGGAGGCAGCTGATCAATGTTTCTCTCTCATCGATGTTTCTAACTCTCTATCTCTCTCCCTTCCTCTCTGTAAAAAATCAATAAAAAATATTTTAAAAAATTGACCTATTGATATTTATATCTTGATTTTAAAAAGATAATAATTATGACCAATACAACAAGCTTTTAAAAAAAAAAAAAAAAAGCTCTGTGAGTGCCTATTAATGGTCATTAAATATTTATTCCAGTCTCCCTTAGGTTAAAAAATAGAAAAATTTCAAATATAAAGTCATGCTCTTAGGAACATGGTATTTTAATATTTTTTTTAAAAGGCAAAGGGCAAAGATGGGGCCGAGGGTGGAGCCCCTGGGAATAGGACAAACCTCTCTACTGATCCTCTGAGAAATGGGCACTTCCCACCACCACTTCCCAGGCACCACAGGCGTCACAAACCCTTGCTGATGGCACTTGGGCCTCGAGGCATTCAGGCAGGCACACCCACTTCTAAACCACAGAACCACTTTCCTTCCACCCAGATCTCTGCCCCACGCTGAACACCCTTCCATTTATTTCCCACAGAGACCGCACAGAAGAAAAACACTCCTCTATCATCCCTTTTTAAAAACGTATCTCCACTGAACAAGAAACAATAATTTTGGGAGGGGGTAAGCGTTGCCCTTCTCAAAGGCCCTGTAAGAGCTCCAGGCTTCACAGTGAGGCGTGTGTCCTGCTGCTTCCGTTACAAGAACTAAAAAGCAGCTGCTCCGAAAAATGAACAAAGGTCGGTAGGTAGGCTGCTGGTAAAGATGGGGCAGAGGCAGGAGAGGAAGGGCAGATCGCCGGGGAGCAGCTGCCAACAGCAGGATCTCTTCATGAGGTGAAGGCACACACGATCTTGGAAGCAGCCAGAAGCTCAAAGCACGGACTCAGGTTCTGACCCTCACCATCCCAAACCTGCCACGGCTAAAGGGGGAAGCTTGTCTAGAGTGACGATGGAGTGGAGACAGGCAGCTGCAGGACAGCGTTCTCCTCCAATCAGCACCCCTCAGTGACACACATCTTCAGTGCCAACTGCCAACACCACGCTGAACAGCGATCCTCAAACCTGATCCACTGCCGGGTCTGTTTCTGTGGCTATTTTCTCCTCCATCGCTGGCTTAGAAAGTCCTGGGTAATTTTCTCCCTGCTTCCGTCGCCAGACTCACCCTTGCGTTTCAGCCCCCAGTCATAAAGACCCCATGCCTTCCCAGGTCCCCCGAGTCCAAATTCGGTGCCACTCCACCACATTCCCAGGGAACCTCCATAACAGCACTCCCAAGCTGAGGGCATGACACTCACTCTCCTCCCAGAGCCTGCTGAGAAGGATCCCCACCCCCTCTTTCTTCTGTAGAGACACTGGCTCAGAAAGCACAGGCCATGGGTGGTCAGAGGTGGAGGGGGAACACTGTTATCAGGGCAGCCAAACGCTTGGCTGGGTGAGCTCTCCCCCTTCCAGCTTCCCTGCTGGTCTGTTTCCATCCAAGGAGACCACCTCCTCTCAATGCTGCCACTTTGTAAGAGCTTAAAGGTGAAGCCCTGGTCTGTGGGAGCCACTGGGAGGGGTGGCAGCAAACCAGAGGGACCAGGCCGGTTTGGAGAATGCCCGGGGCTCACCTCCTTCCCTTTCTTCAGCCCCCTCCCAGGTGCACAGCCTGCAGCCTGAGCTTTAGCCGGGGCTCAGGATAAACTCCCAGGCAGGGAAACCCACCTCCCCCTCCCCGGTGAAAGGAGATCTCAAACCAAGATAACTAGGCACCAGCGGAGTACAACCACGGTGGGAGAAGGGCAACAGACTGGATATCCTCAACGGGAGGCAGACTTATTGGGACAGGCCAAAAACTTTTAATTAGCAGAATAAATGTCCTCTAAGAGACAGAGGGAGAGATTAGTAATACAAAGCAAGGGGAACTATTAGGAAGAAAAAATGTAAAAGCTGAACACAACAGATGAGAGAAATAGCACGATCGATTCAAGGAGAGAATAGAGCAATGGAAGCCCAGAGAGGGATCCTCCCAGAAGGAAGCAGAAAAGAATGAAGGGATACCTTCTGAGATGCAGAAAATAAAAGCAGAGCCTTCAGTATTCAGAAAACACGGAACAGGAAAGGAGAAAATGAAAACAAATAAAAAAGAAAAGGAAATACTTGAAAACTGATAATTCCCCAGAATTAAAAAGATTAAAGATTTCAAATTAAATATTGATAAAGGACCAAACAAGATACTAAAGACCCACACCAAGGCACATTATAGTGAAATTTAAGAATGTCAAGATTAAACAAATACTCTAAAAGTTTCCAGAGAAAAAAAGAAAGAAAAAGAGTAAGATTAACATCAGATTTTTCAATAGCAACACCAATGCAAAAAAGGCAACTGAGTTATATTGTCAAATTTTTATATAAAAAAGAAAATATAGACAAAACCGGTTTGGCTCGGTGGATGGAGCGTCGGCCTGCGGACTGGGGGGTCCCAGGTTTGATTCCGGTAAAGGGTACATGCCTGGGTTGTGGGCTCATCCCCACTGGGGCGGCTGATCGATGTTTCTCTCTCATCGATGTTTCTAACTCTCTATCTCTCTCCCTTCCTCTCTGTGAAAAATCAATAAAATATATTTTTTTTAAAAAAAAGAAATAAGTCTTAACAGCCCAGCTGACATGGCTCAGTGGTGGAGGGTCGACCTATGAACCAGGAGGTCACGATTCAATTCCCGGTCAGGGCACATGCCCGGGTTGTGGGCTCAATCCCCTGTCTGGGGCATGCAGGAGACAGCTAATCAATGATTCTCTCTCATCGTTGATGTTTCTATCTTTCTCTCTCTCTCTTTTCCCTTCTGAAATCAATAAAAATACATATATTTTAAAAAGCAGCCATACACTAGGCCAGTGGTTGGCAAACTGCGGCTCACAAGCCACATACGAGTCTTTTGAGTGTGGCGTGGGGCTTTTCCTAAGCCTTAGGAACGTGCAGGCGCGCATGTACAGTGCGATTGAAACTTCGTGGCCCATGCGCAGAAGTCGGTATTTTGTGGAAGAGCCACACTCAAGGGGCCAAAGAGCCGCATGTGGCTCACGAGCCGCAGTTTGCTGACCACTGCACTAGGCTAAAGGGTCAGTAAATTCCATGGAATTAATATCACTAAAACCACCTGCTCTGACCATAAAATTAAAAAGCAGCAGCAAAAATCAAAACCTTAAGCCCTAGCTGGCTTGGCTCAGTGGATAGGTGTCAGCCTGTGGACTGAAGGGTCCCAGGTTCGATTCCGGCCAAGGGCACATGCCTGGGATGTGGGCTCAATCCTCAGTAGGGAGCGTGCAGGAGGCAGCCAATCAATGATTCTCTCTCATCATTGATGTTTCTATCTCTCTCCTTCTCCCTTCCTCGCTGAAACCAATAAAGAAATATATTTTGTTAAAAAAAAAAAAAACTTAAAAAAGTTGCATTTGGCTAGAACTTAGGTGAAAAGGAAAAACATCAGGGAATTTTTTAAAAATACATAGAATTGAATGACAATGAAAACACAACCTGTCAAATCTGTGAGATACAGCTCAAGCATTACTCAGAGAACAAAGTATGCCATTAAATACACGCCTATGCTCACTCTCCAATGCTGAATGAGCCAGTGTTTCCCTGAAAGTCACCCAAACAAAACATGGAAACTGTGGGGAAATTCACAAGATCTGCGAGCATTTCCCTGGTGCCTGCTGGGTGCTCTGCCCCCAGGATTCATGAGACAAAATTTAAGGCTGTCAATAAATAGAAACCTGAAGGATAAAACCACATCAGGCAATGAATGGTACACCCACCTGTATTAACAGCCTATCCAAACTATTAACCAAATTATATTCTATTCAGAAAAAATAACATGGACTTGAACCCTACAAAAGTTCATGCTCGCCTCCTCTAGCAAAGAGTGCCAGCCCTTCCCACCACGTGAGATTAGGGACTGTGGTCTAACAGATTTTGCTGTTATGAGAATAAAACGTATTTGCACACAAGTACCTGATAGGGTAAGTCAGCCATCCTTAAATAAGTTTCCATTTTCAAACAGAAAGGAGATAAACTGGGGACACCATTGTTAGGTCTTGCAAACTGATGCAATATAATAGCATCTTTGGAGTCAATCTCTTGCTGTTTCCTGTTAAAACCAAAACAGAGATAAAGAACAATCCATGTGTTATACATTCAGTTCCCTTAGTTCCTCAGAGACCCCTGCTGGACTGCTGCTCCTCAAGAATAAGCAGCAGTTTGTCTTGGGGCTTACCTCACCCTGGGGCACTGACCAAGTGGAAGCTTGGTGAACCACAAAAGAACCTTATAAGCTCCGATATTACCAGGACCTCCAGGGCCCAGAAAAGTAAATACATATCAACCTCCTTCTGGTTCCTGTAGCTTATGAACAGGAAGAGTACTTTCGGGTACAGGTCCCCTTATTCCCCTTACTGGCTATCTTTACCTGCCAGGGGACAAGATGGATAGATTAAAATTATATTCTGGGCTTATTATGTGTCAGGCATGGTTTTGAGGGCTTCATAGATATTATCTCCTTTAACCTTCACAATAACCCTACGAAGTAGATGCTATTGTGATCCGTGTTACATGGATGAGGAAACTGAAGTCACATCACTAGTAAGTGGCAGAAGCTAGACTGCACCAGGTAGTCAGGGCCTGTGCTCTTGAGGCTGCACCATGAAACAGGCTCTTCTTCCACAGGGCCCTGCATAGCATGCAGATTTCCTCCGCCCTGACCCACGTCTGCAGGGCGTCTGAGACACTGAGCACTCTGGTCCCTCTTCCAAACTACCTGCGCCGCCCCGCCCCCCCCACCACCACCACCTGGCCTGCCACCTGCGGAGTAGAGGAACTGGCTTCTGGGCTCTCTCATACTCTCCTCCTTCCCAGGGTCCTACCTTTCACCACACAGCACCTACCTCAGTGCCCCTACCTTTGCCCCTTCTTCTGTCTCAGCCACACATCATCTACCTTTTCTTTAGCTACTTTTTTGGGTGAGGAGGACTTCCCTGGTACAGCTTTTCAATAGCCGCCATGAAGTAAAACAAATACTGGATTCCAAGTCTGGTCAGGTGGGGTCAAGTCCACGTCCTGCTTCCTACTGGCCTCGCCCTCTTCTCCTCTCTCACAGAGAGAGTGAGAGTTCCTATTCTGTATTGATTATCCTGAGAATTAAATAAACTAATATCTATAAATGTTTGGTGAGCTATCAAGCATATGTAGGAGGGATGGACTTTACTGTAATTCAAAGAGATATGGTCTTATCCCCTTACACTACAAAATCTCATCATTCCATATAGCTCCACAGGAACCTTCTGCAATTTCCATCTTTTACTCTAACCACTACCCACTCTTCTCCTTGGCCTTCCCTGAGCTCTGGTTCCCTTCCATCATCCCTAGCTGAACCCCTCAAGTACATCTATCTACCTAAGCAAGCAAGGACAAGCTCTTCATATCATCATCACACAGATGGTCACCTATTGCAGCATCTCCGATCAATATAACAACTCTTTTGGAGAAGTTTACCGCTGAAGTGCCCATTCCAATTAAAGAGGTAAGGCCCTAACCGGTTTGGCTCAGTGGATAGAGCGTTGGCCTGCGGACTGAAGGGTCCCAGGTTCGATTCCGGTCAAGGGCATGTACCTGGGTTGCGGGCACATCCCCAGTGGGAGATGTGCAGGAGGCAGCTGATTGATGTTTCTCTCTCATCGATGTTTCTGGCTTTCTATCTCTCTCCCTTCCTCTCTGTAAAAAATCAATAAAATATATTAAATAAATAAATAAATAAAAATAAAAAATAAAGAGGTAAGAATGGCTCCTTTTTAAAACATTCGTCAAATGAATAAAAATATTTGCTATGAGCCGAAACCGGTTTGGCTCAGTGGATAGAGCGTCGGCCTGCGGACTGAAAGGTCCCAGGTTCGATTCCGGTCAAGGGCATGTACCTGGGTTGCGGGCACATCCCCAGTGGGAGATGTGCAGGAGGCAGCTGGTCGATGTCTCTCTCCCATCGATGTTTCTAACTCTCTATCTCTCTCCCTTCCTCTCTGTAAAAACTCAATAAAATATATTTTAAAGAAATATATTTGCTATGAAACAAAGGTTTTCATTTAGATGAAATGTTTGGGAGGTCAGAATTAAGGAGCCATTTAGACTATATTCCTAGAAAGTGAAAACTAACTGATTTTGTCCACTCAAATAATTCAAATCACGGAGTGGTATTTTTACGTAAATTAGCGGGCAAAAATATAAGGACTGAAAGATTAGGAGGTAAATATAAAATCCCCTGAGCCACTGGCCAGAACAATCTAATTGTAATGGTTAACATGGGCCATGTCATAAGAAGAATGGATGTTAACTATGTGACAAGTATATATGCCAATGATTTTGTATACATGTATATTACATGATTTCAGTAACTACAGAGGGGATATTCAGTTTAAATTTAGTATATTATACGATATTTATATTTTATAGTAGACAGCAAAACTGAAGCTCAGAGAGGGTGTAACGTGCCCAAGGACTACCAACTTAAGATCAAGTTGTTAACAGCTCCAGTTCCCAAGCTCTTAAGCACTTCAACTACACCAAAATGAACAATTCCTCACTTAGTAATATGAAAACAGCCAGTTTGACTCAGCCCACTCAAGCCTAACTTTCTGATGAAAGTCTATAACAGCTAATGTCCAACTTTTACTGTCTGCTCACTATACGTCAAACATTATACTAACTCATTTCATCAACTCTGTGAAGAGGCTACTATCATCATCCCTATTTACAGATGAGAAAACCCAGGAGCCAAGAAGCCTACTCTCCAATCCAAGGCCACATGGCTGATTAAAAGAAGAGTAAATCTGAACTCAATCAGGCCCCAGAGCCCTCCCTCCACACATCAGGAATCTCTCTCTAACAGGAGCAGAGAAGCAGGTGATCTGTTTCCCAGAAGCTATCCTATGTAATAAAAGGCTAATATGCAAATCTACCAAACAACCAGTCGCTGTGACGTGCACTGACCACCAGGGGGCAGATGCTCAACGCAGGAGCTGCCACCTGGTGGTCAGTGAGCTCCCACAGGGGGAGTGCCACTCAGCCAGAAGCCGGGCTCACAGTTGGCGAGTGCAGCAGCGGTGGCAGGAGCCTCTCCCGCTTCTGCAGCAGCGCTAAGGACCACTTGGGGGATGTCTGACTGCCAGCTTAGGTCTGCAGGGAGTGGGCCTAAGCCAGCAGGCGGTATCCCCCAAGGGGTCCCGGACTGCGAGAGGGCACAGGTTGGGCTGAGGACCCCACCCCAGTGCACGAATGTCATGCACCAGGCCTCTAATATTTCATAAAGTGCCCTTAAAACAAGGGTTGTATAAGAGAATACTTGTACAGTGGAGCCTTGACTTATGAGTGTCCCGACTAACAAGTTTTTTGAGATACAAGCCATCTCTCAGACGATTTTTTGCTGTGAGTTGCGAGCTAAAATTCGGGTTACGAGCCAGCTTCAGATACCCCACCGCTAGTTGGTGCAGCGAACGTCACAGTGAATGCCACAACATCAGCCCAGCATCACGTGTCTCACTCGTTCACTTTTTGATGAGACACACGAGTAATTTGAGTTACGAGCTCCATCACAGAACGAATTAAACTCGTAAGTCAAAGCCCCACTGTACAGAGCAAGACTGGCCCCTACCCCCACAGTGAAAGCTACCACAGTGAACATGCCTCTGTGGACGAGCTCTTTAGGGAGATCAGATGGCCCACGGGCTGCTCTGATTGCCTAGGTTTTCTAGGACAGGCTGAGCCCGTGGGCTGTAAGTGCAAATGAGCTACCAATAAAAGCCATTATTTAGTCACTCAACTTACAAACAATACATGTCCAAATGCCACACTGAATTTCAGATAGCTGCTGGGCTACCTCCACTGGGAGAAAAAAGCACAGGGTTGGAACTATATTTGTTTAAGAATATTGTGGTGGGGAAAAATCCAAAATACCTACTTGGGTTATACTCACTAATGAAACTTTGTAAATAATTCTCATCTGTCAACTTTAGTTTCCGCTCTGGAGACATAGCCATAGATTAAGGTTAAGTCTATGCAGCAGCAAATCCAAGCCGGTGGTGACGACTCTATGACTGCCAGTGAACTCAGACAGTATAGCCATTTCAAGGTATAGTGGCCATTTCTCATATTTCATATTGTTTAGGGTTTTCCCTAAAATACACAGACAATTGACGATTTCCCTTTAAGCAGAGGTCTCTATCATGTAACCTCTGAACCTCAGTCCCAGACCTCAGTTTTGTTTTTTGTTTTTTTAAATATTTTATTGATATTTTTACAGAGAGGAAGGGAGAGGGATAGAGAGTTAGAGACATCCATGAGAGAGAAACATCCATCAGCTGCCTCCTGCACACCCCCTACTGGGGATGTGCCCGCAACCAAGGTACATGCCCTTGACCGGAATCGAACCTGGGACCCTTCAGTCCACAGGCCGACGCTCTAGCCACTGAGCCAAACTGGTCAGGGCCCAGACCTCAGTTTTTTCCCCACTATCCCTCCATGCCCCTAGAGCAGTGGTTCTCAACCTTCTGGCCCTTTAAATACAGTTCCTCACGTTGTGACCCAACCATAAAAGTATTTTCGTTGCTACTTCATAACTGTAATGTTGCTACTGTTATGAATCGTAATGTAAATATCTGATATGCAGGATGGTCTTAGGCGACCCCTGTGAAAGGGTCGTTCGACTGCCAAAGGGGTCGCGACCCACAGGTTGAGAACCGCTGCCCTAGAGGCTGTCAAAAATTCAGGTCCTTCCACAGGTCTGTCTTCCCTGAGCGATGCCCCAATTCTCTACATTTCCCTTCCTCTCCCCCACATCAAAATCTACTTCACAAGTGGTGCTCTCTAGGAGTCAGTGGTAAAAAAGATCCGGCTCGGCCCACACACATTCCCAGATTTGAATCTGGATCCTACTACTCTTACTGTGTGATCCTGGGCAAGTTGCTTACCCATCCTGGGCCACAATTTCGTTACCTATAAAATGGGGATCAAACATCCAATGCTAGTTGTGAGGAGTAAATCTAATCACATAAGTAAAGCACTGCTATGCAGAGCCCCTACTAAGGACTCAGAAATGGGCAGCCACTTTTTATTACTTGCATTAGAACAGGATTTTCCAACTCAATTTAAGTATCTGTCAAGAAACAAAAGTGAATCAACCAAGGATTAAACACCCCTCAACTAAATAAGTATCCAAGCAGTCTCCTAAGTAGGGAAGGGACACATTTCTGTCCAGAGGCCTCTTCTTTGTCCAGCGACCACACCTACCAGGGCGTGGCCTGCTCTCAGCGTGAGCTCTGAGCTCCTCGCTATTTCTGCAAGGTCATTTAAGCAAGGTTTAGACTCAGTCCTGTGAAGCGTGCCTTTCCTCCCTTCACAAAGTGGCCAACTGGTGAGAAGCCACATGGTTTGGGATCCTGAAAAGGCTTTGGGCTGGACTATAATTGAGAAACAATGGGGTTACCGTTTAAATTACTGCACAAATGTGTCAGTTTTTCATATAGCTTGCAACCTAACTTGAAATAGAGTTCTAAAAGTAGCAAAAACATAAAATAACCTAAAGAGATCATTTCACTTCACATTTTTTTATTTGGTTCAACTAGACTAGATTCAAGCCCTGTGCTAAGTGAGAGCATTCAATGTGTAAGATGGAAATAAAACTTCTCAATTATGACTAAATAATACGAAAATACCTTTCCCCAGACCTAAATGACTTCCCACCCTCTGAGACTAGAGACACTCACAGCACCTGAGCTGGTCTGTCACAGTGTCCTACTGGAATGCCTGCAGGCCTAGTAAAGGTCACTATCTTTGTTTACAACCTATTGTGTAGGACTCCCCGACTAGAAAAAGGCAGTGCGGGCACATTTCTCAATGTTTAAAAGATTCTACAAGAGGGCTACATTCTAAGCTACTGAAAACTGCTTGCTTCTGGTCATCTCCCAGGGACAGAGGGTCCAATACACAGAAATTTTAAAGGTCAATTAATGTAGCCATTAGCCAAACGACCACCTCAGTCATCTATGGTACTGTCCTACTCAAACAAAGATCTCCTGTGGGGTTGGATGTGCCAACAGCAGGGCCTCCGTTTTCTGCTATTTCCAAGCGAATCCTGTCCACATTCTGCGGCAGGCAGCCATGCAACTGTTGGTGGCACTGGGTGACTCTCCTGTTCTTGTCAAACACGCCCATATGCTAGTCCTACATCTCCTATGGCTCACAAAACAACAGCATGTAAACCCCAAGATGGTGCTTCGCTTTAAATAACAGATTAGCAGAGAACCAGATGAAAGTGAAGATTGCATCAAAACTGCACAGCACTATACCTGGCCATGCAGCCTTAACAGGAGCCCAGAGCTCTCTGACCCTTTGCAATTTCAGCCTTTTCAGGATGTAACACTGGGGCGGAAGGAAGGGAGTTGGGGGGGGGGGGGTTAGAATGGAGAACTAGCCTTGAAGTAAAATATAAGGTTAGTGTTCCAGCATTATTCTCTATAAACAAATAAATAAGGTCTTTCATAAAAGTGTAACTTAGTATTCCTACAGGGCCTAATTCTGTTATTGTAAAACATTGCACGTAGGATCTTGCCAAAGACTTTGCTTTCAGCACCGAAAAATTGGGAGACGCATGTTTTTCCCTCCCAATACGAGTTTAATTCTGTCAACTCTAAACTGCCCCTCAAGGCCATGGTCACCTGGGCATTTGAGCAGCGAGACCGAGGGTCCCCCTCGCGCCAGCCCTGCCCAGGCCAGGTGCCCCTCCGGCGCCCCTGCGGGGGCCCTCTCTCCGGCTCACCTAATGACCAGGAGTTCGTGGAGCAGATACGCAGCTGCGGCCAGCAAAGCTCCCCCGGTCAAGTAAAGTGTTTTCTTCCACCAGGGATCGGAGCCCAGCCCTGCCATGATCCCACCGTAGTCCTGCAAAGGGAAAGCGATGATGTCCCCATAAAAGGAGAAGGGCTCCTCGGACCCGGCCCACCAGCCGAAGGAGACGCTCTGGTTCCAGCTCAGATCCACCACGCACGGCCGGGACGAGGCAAAGCCAACCCCCCAGTGCATGCTGCGCGGCTGGCTGCGGGCGC